CTCTCTCTCTCTCTCTCTCTCTCTCTCTCTCTCTCTCTCTCTCTCTCTCTCTCTCTCTGTGTGTGTGTGTGTGTGTGTGTGTGTGTTGCCTATATCTGTGTTCACATGAATGTTCCCTTGTATGCAAGAACAACATTTGTTTAATCATAAAGAAAAAGAATGTGCATTCATTTGAATTTTAAAAATAACAGCAAGGTCAAATATAAAGAAATGTAAAAAATTAAATCTTTGAAAATCCCAATGCATATTTGAATCCTAGCATAAACACAGAAAAAATGGGAGAGTTGGAAAGCAGTAAGATATTATAAATACAATTAATTTTTTTCTTCCAAATAAAGAAGATCGCCATTGTAATTTAATTTAATTTAATTAGATTTAAACAACTATATGGTATATGGTATATAATATAATATGCTTGTAATTTAAATTATAATAATATAATAATATAATATAATATATAATATCACTGCTCCTCCACACTCATATTCATTCCATTCAGCTTGTGTTCCAATCTATCTATATGAAATACAGGGGATTTCATTATTAGCTACGTATATGATGTCTCTCTAGATGTTTTTATTACATTAGGCTTCTCAGCGGCTTAGACAAAAATAACCTAATTCACAAGTTCATGAGAATTTTAACAGCCTATTTCCTTCACTAAGAGTTTCAGGTTTCCAAAAACTTATAGATCAAAACATTCAGCTCCACCCATGCTTTAATTCTACTGAATTCAGTGGAGCTTATTTCACATCAGATATGTTTATAATTATGCTGTAAATTGTAATATTGTAGTGTAAATGATTAACAAATAAATCACATTCTTTAATAGTCTTTTATCATAATTTTATCATAACAATGTCACAATTTATTATGGTAATGCAGGGGTGGGCTTCAAAAATTTTAGCAAGGGGTTTTCTGCCCAGCTGCTGAGTGGACATGGCCATGGTGGGCATGGCCTAGTTGGCCTCTTGCACCATGGTAGGGAGGAGGGGCGTTTTTGCCCTCCTCTGGCTTCGGAGGCTTTCTTCTAGCCTCTGGGAGGGCGAAAACAGCCTCCCCAGGCTCCGGAGGCCCTCTGGAGGTCAGACACAGGCCCATTTCCAGCCTTTCCAAACTTCCAGTGTGCCCATTTTCCCCCCTCCCTGAGCCTCCAGGCACACCTTGCACTTAGCTGCATCCAAAATGGGCTGCATGGAGATTCCTGGGAGGGGCAGAGTGGGTTGGGCAAGGCCAGCCAGAAGTGGGTATTTGTGGGTTCTCTGAACTGCACAGAATCTTAGTTAGAGGTTCTCCTGAACCCCTATGAACCCCCAGCAGCCCACCCCTAATGTGTCACTCTTACAGACTTATTAATATCTAATATATTATTGCTACAGTATTATATTGAAACAGAGAATGGGAATTTCCAGTTAGCCCTTTTCTTACCCTATCTGAGAAAGGATTCCCCAGACCATCCACTATTTCTAGAACAGTGGCACTAGAAAGGCTAATTTTCTCTATTTAGCTAGACACTAGAGTTATCAAAAAGTAGGAAAGCTATATATAGTTAAATATAAAGTATATATTGCAATGAAGAAAGCCATACAAGCATCCAAATTTTATAATTGATGTTATACATCAGAGATGAAATATGGTTAAGTTAAGTTAAGTTTATTAAACTTGTATGGTATATGCGAGTTAAGTCTAACATAAACTAATAGAGATTATCACGGTTGGAAAGAAGGAAGGAAGTGAAGAAAGTAGTTTTTCTTTCTCTTTCTGCTGATAAATGGCTTTTGTTTGTAATCAACTCGATGTTACCCATTATTTTATTATGTTCAATGGCAGTTGCTCATGGAAGCAGCAGAAATGCACTGCAGTTCTGGCAGATTTCCACAAAAGCTTTTAAATATTTTACTATCAAATGAATTTTATTTTTCTGAATGTACACCAAAATACAATGTATTTTTAATCTGAAATCATTTTTGAGACTTCATGCGCAATCAACATCTCAGAAGCTCCCCTAAAGAAACACAAAAATCTAGCATGTCTCTCCTGAAATTCTGGCAATTTTTAAGGCGCTGCAGGAGAAGAAAATATTGTGAACTGCTAGAATATTAATGAATCTATAGCAGTTTGGGCAAGATTGAGTTGATACTGAAAAACAAACCTCCTTTTGAACAAAATCCATGATGTTTTTGAAGTCCAAGTCATCGTAGTAATTCTGAATTCCTTTCCTGATATTTTCATTTAAAAACTCAATTGTCTTTAAAGGGAAAAAGATGTGAAAGAAAAATGAGAGTCAGCATACATTCATATAAAGCTGAGCACAGTAGTTGACAACAAAGCTTCTTGGAGACATCTATAAAATCGTACTTTTTCATCAAAATAACCCAAGCTCCATCCCTTTCCTATGTGTGATATAACAATGCAGGTACAAAAGGGATGGAGCTTACAGTGCAACAGCACAACCTTGTTTTCATCATTTGCCCTCCCCAAACACCTGTTTTCGTGTCTCTCCGGGGGGCATCCTTTTTATGTATGTATATATGTAAAAAGTTTTTTATTGAACACAAATTAAAACACTGGACACAGTGTCACCGTCCTGGCAAAGTCTTTGCCATACATACTAAGATATAAAGTTATACATTATAACTCCCATGCTTATTTACAATTGGTCTATTCAGTGTTTATAAATCTAAAAATATCATATTTCCAACCATGTTGCTTTGTTTTTATCTTATACATTTTCACTATTACAGTTTCATACATAATTCTTATCTCCATTCTATAAATCTTAATCATTGCTTATTTTGGGTCTTTCCTTTTTTGTTCGAACCATCGATAAAATTTATCCCAGATCTTGTAATGTTCTGATTGGTCTTTATTGTTCAATTCCCAAAGTATCAGACTAGGTGGCAGGGTGTTATCCTGCTTCCAGTCCCTTTTTGCGGCTTTAAAGGGCCACCGGTTGGTGCCTTTACTGTAAGTGTCCCTCACAGCAAATTGCCTGGGGACAAACGTCCTGCAGTGAAGCGTCCAGGAGAAGGAGGCGGGACAGGAGCGTTAGTTGGCCATTGCCAGGGGAGGAGTGCAGGCGGAGGGCCCACCAAGCATAAACGCTGGTGGTGAATTAGCTGCTGTCCAGGAGAAGGAGGCGGGACAGGAGCGTTAGTTGGCCATTGCCAGGGGAGGAGTGCAGGCGGAGGGCCCGCCAAGCATAAACACTGGTGGTGAATTAGCTGCTGTGGGGGTGGGGGGCCTGCAGAGAAGGGGGCATGGTAATATGACAATATGTCCTTGACCCCTATTGTTTCTATATTATTGCAACACATATTACATCAGAAAAGCCCCTGAAGTATAATGAAATACCAAGGACAACATACAGACCTTTACCTGCCTAAATCTTTTTAAAGCAATGTAAATCTTTATAGGCTTCCTAGTGACACATATAAAGCTGATTTCAGTTTTGGGCTCATTACCAGAAGTTTCAGTTGTTAATTTTAAGTTTGAAAGCTGCCAGCCTTTTAAAAACTATATTAGGGGAAAGACACATTTATGATACTCAATCATCAATATTTCATTGATGCAACAGATCCATTACTATTTTAATACATGAAAATACTATTAATTATATAAGAATAATTTTCAAAGCTCAAAGTTTCCAGAGTGAGAATATTCTAGAGAGTTAAAGATTATGCAAGAGAAAAAGCCAATTCTATAATGCCAAATGAGTTTAAACAGATGCTTGCACTGTTATGGCAGGAAAGCACACAGGATACAGTATTTGATACTGGCTCCAACTTCCGAAGAAATTAATTTTTTTAGACTTCATGGTTATCAAGGTAGTTAAAAATATCTCAGAAAGCCAGAAAAATTAATGAAAACTAGTCCAGCCAAGTATAATTGACACTACATATCATATTACTTCAGACACTTAGTTTTTAAATTAAGTACATTTTTAATTACTACATTTTAATTACAATTTAAATTTAATTTAAACTAATTTGGCCTTCACTGCAGACATTTCTCACAATATTTTTGTTAATATTATACACATATGCACTTTAATTAATAATGTTAATATATAAGTCATGCAGAATCCAGATTCTTTTTTAACCTAACTTTAAACTGGTTAATTTGGCAAACAATTTTCTTACCTTACTTCGGAAAATTAAGGCTGTAACTCCACCAATTAGTTCAATGAACAAACAAAAGCCCAAAATGTACATGAACTGCAAAAGAAAGATTTTTTTTAAAAAAATGTTATATAAAACTTGTACAACCAAAAAGCCTTCGTTTAGAAATGATGAATGTTTACTTTTACAATATTTAATTAGAATAACTTTCAGAACAATTGGAGATGGGTTTAGTGTATTTGAACTCTCAACCAAGAATATCTGCAGGGTATGGCTGTAATGTATGGTTGAAGCTCTACATCAGGGGTGTCAAACTCAAGGCCTGCAGGCTGCATCCGGTCAATGGGGTGCTTGGATCTGGCCCACAGAGGTCTGGCAAACAGCGAAGGACCAGCCCGTGGTGCCTCTGCCAGTGAAAACTGAGGCGGGGGGGGGGGGATTTTTTCCGCTGGCTGTCACAGCCAAAAATGGAGCTTGGGAACCATACATTAACTGGCAGAGGCACCACGGGCTGGTCCTTCGCTGTTTGCCAGACCTCTGTGGGCCAGATCCAAGCACCCCATTGACCGGATGCAGCCTGCAGGC